TGTTGCAATCTCATTATTTGATATTACAAAATCGTATTAATATTATTATCTCATGTTCATATTACTGTTATATTTTATATTACGATGTCTTATTATTTGATATCACTATCGCATATTTGATACTACTATCTCATCGAAGAACTATTCTGATCCAAGAATCAAAATTTCTCAGCAAGACATTTATTTGAACCATTGTGCTAATCTTGTAAGCTGAAAAATTCCTTCCAGCATCACTGTTTCAGACAGTATATGTATTTGCTCCAAAAGACTCCACATAAGCAAACTAGAATTATGATACACTTAGTCACAAAAATGATACATAGGAATGCTCCTTGACAAGTCAACTGCACATGAAGTCTGCTTAACCAATGAAAATCAAACAACACAAAAATAAAAATACCAGATATTTGATCAGATTTTAGCTGAGAATTTTTCAGCACCTACTCAGATGATAGCTGGCTACTCTCATTTTCTGAGCACATCAATCTGCTAATGAGACTAGCCGATCCTTGTTTCAGACACCCGCTCAGGCATATTTGAGTTTGTTCAACATCCAAAGAGTGCACCTGTAGTTTATACTGCAACTATGCTGATATTGATAAATCAGCCCTGGGAAGATACAGATCTGGATACCATTCTCAGAAATTGAACATTCTAACCACTTTACCAAGCACTCTACTCATATAAATATATATATAGCACTTGGCCATACCCTCTACTCATATATACAGTGCGGGAGGGGGTAACAAATATTTGCACACACACAAATTTTTCATTTATTGTATTTCTGGCTAATAAATAAACATACTTTTCATATAATTAACTGTACACAGATGCATAATAACTAAATATGCATAGAAAACAGAAAACATTTTGGTATAAAAGAAATCCCATTTATCCTTTTTAATGGGTGAAAAATGTATTCATACAATACAAAAAGAATACATAATCTTCATTTAATAACTTTGTAGAATAGCCATTATTCACTTCAAAAGCAACCAACCTCTTCTTGTAGTTCTTAATTAAAGATTTTCAAATTTTAGTTGGGATTTTGTTCCATTCTTTGCACATGGTCTCATTAAGATGTTTGTTGGAGCTTTCAATTGGATTTGAATTTTCAAATAACACCACATATTCTGGATTGGGTTTAAGTCTGGGGACTGACTTAACCATTTCTGGATATTTACATTATTTTCAACAAGCCATTTCTTCATAGATTTTGCAGTGTGCTTAGGATCATTATTTTGTTGGAAGATCCAATCAGGAGAAAGTTCAAGATTTTCAACTGAAATCATTAAATTTTCTTCCAAAATATTTTGATATGCTGTGGCATTCAGTCTACCATCTATTACTGACATGTTGCCAGTACCATTTGCAGAAAAACATATTCAAACCATGATGCTGCCACCACCAAATTTCACTGTTGGAAATGTGTTCTTTTGTTTGAAGGCATCACCACCTTTTTTCCATACATGATTTCTAGAATTACATCCAAACAACTCAATTTTAGTTTTATCTGTCCGTAATACTCTTTGCCAATACAATTTTTCCTTATCCTTATGTTCACAAATGAATTTCAACCTTGCATCCCTGTGTCTTTTCAATAGCAGTGGAGTTTTCCAAGAGGAGCATGACTTTAGATTGTTCCTATAAATTTCATCGCTTATTGTCTGTTTAGTGACACAGATTCTTGATGAAAGCAAATCATCCTGCAACCCTTGATGAGTAAACATTGAATTTTGATTAATTTGACACATAAATTTCCTCAAAGATCTTGAAGAAATCTTCTGTGGAATACCTGTTCTTTGGTTTTCAACAATTTTGAGTCATTTATACCTTTCAAGGAATGAACTAATGGTAGTAAAAGGAAAATTCAGGTTGCCTGAGATTTTCCTCTAACTTTTACCTTCTTTCCAGAGCTTAGCAATCAGTTCTTTTTGTGAATTTGTCAATTCTTTACTTCTTGTGATGATGATAACCTTATTGCACAAATATCAATTACAGAATGCCCTGTTTGTATTTTTTAGGCTAAAATAACTAATAATAACATTATTGGAACACTCTAAATTATTTTACTTGAATAAGCTAGAGTTTTAAAGCAATTTAAAATTTTTAAATTCTGAAATTTACATTGTACGAATATTTTTTTCACCAAATAATATGGATAAATGGGATTTATTTCTATTAAATCACAATTTTTTCTGTTTCTTATGCATATTTAGTTATTATGTATCTGTGTACAGTTAATTATATGAAAAGTGTGTTTATTCACTCATTGGAAATACAATAAATTAAAAATTTGTATGTGTATATGAGTACAAATATTTGTTTCCTCCCATTATATATATATATATATATATATATATATATATATATATATGTGTGTGTGTGTGTTTTTATTTACTTGTTTTCTTACAAGTGGTTTTACTGATAGTGGAAGATGACGTATATTTTCCAATATTACTCCTACAAGTAATTTCAACTATCTTCAAGGAGTAAACCTGCTTTTAGTAGTGGTAGTTGCTTGTTTTCTATGGTATCTTTTTAATAGTTCCATACATTGAAGTTAAAGTAATAAAATTCAAGAAAGCATCTACGCAGGAGTCTTTTTCCCAAATTATTGGTTCTTGGGAAAAAAATTTGGGATGTCCTTCTTGATATTATATTTATATTATGAACAGGACCCCCCACCACTTATATAACCCAGGTTTAAGTGCTATATGTTATTTTGTAGAGGGAGAGAGTTACTGCATTGTAATTCATGTTGCCCATGGAAATGCCAGAAAAAAGTGAGATCATAATAGCTTATTCCTTTATGGTAACCCACTATAGCTATCAGATCACAAATCAAACAGCTAACCAACCAGTTAGTTATTTACACTATTGTCCTCATCGTTATTGATGTTATTACAGCATTTCAGTCATTGTGCCCTCCAGACCTCATCAGGTGTATATTGATCTAGGTAACCTACAGGTTATTTGGAACTGAACCCTTTATTTAATCTACAGGTGTAGACTATTCCTTATTCCACTGCTCATGTTTATGGATATCTCATCTAGTTCTTATTTTTAGTACTGCTTAGTTACTGTTCACCATCAAAGCTTTACTAATCCCCTCCAGTCCTCTCTTGATGTCACTAATATAACAGCCAAACTGCCAAATATATCAACTCTAGGCTTTACCAACTCTACCCATATTCAAAATCACCACACCTCACCCACACAAAAAATTCCGCTCATATCTGCTGTATCGGCAACACAACAGAATTTTATATTTACAATTCTTGTCTTCTTTTCACCTTACTGGTGTTACTGTTGTTTCATTTGCTCTTCCATGCCCCCATACACATATTTATAACAGAACCATATTTATTTATATTATTTACACTTGGACTATTGTCGTCATCTTTTGTTATCACTGCAATGTTTCAGCTGTTGTGCTCTCCAGGTAACCTACAGGGAATTTTTGATTTAAACCCTTTATTTAATGTACGAGGTAGATTGTTCTTATTCTGCTGTTCATATCTAGGGATATCTTGTCTAGTTCTTAATTTAGGTACTGCTCAGTCATTGTTCACCTGTTTCCACTGAGTCCAAGTACACACTACCCTGCCCAGGGATTGAACTCACAATTACTATGTCACTAAATTTACAAACCAATGCTTTAATCCACTTGATTATTGTTCCATAGGATAATTCTCTATAATGGTTGATTGATTTATCAGTTTGTTTAACGACATATTCATGTTAAGATTTAACTTTCTTGGGAGCTTTTAAGCAATAAAAATACAATATATGTTTGTTATATTCTGTGCTAATAGGAATATATACTTGAAAAACAAGGTGTATAAAACAAGTAAAGGTTTATTGTAAAAAACCAGCACAATAAGAATAAAGGTAACAGTTATACACAAGGTCATCGCAAGTCAATCCAGTAGTGAGTGCTACTATTGGAAAGTCGGTAGTTCTCATGTAAATCTGAGTTGCACTCAACAGATCCCAGCTAGTATGTTTAGCAACACCCCCCCCATGAGTGTTGCATGTGGCACAAGGCCAGTTTAACATGGGTTCTCCAAGCCCATAGGCTTGACCAAAAATATCCTCTTTTTTAACCTGCACAAACAGGTTCAGGGGCAGTCTACCTCCCCGAACGAGACTCTGCCCTTCAGTGGAGCCTTGTCCAGGTTCCTCTCTGCCCGAAGGCAGAGAGTTCGACTCTTTAGCTTGAACAGATCTCAGCTAGACTCCGTTGACTTTCTGCTACTTATAGGTATTTTTTACCTATCTGGTACTTACTTATAGGGGTGACAAGTTATTCTATTACATCAATGTTATTCTGCTTTCACAATTCAATACATGGTAGATGATACTCAGCTGTTGTGCTTATACATATTTGTATAATCAAAATTACTAGAGAAAGTGATATATGCGTTTTATGTTGTAATTTTTTCTGAAGTTAATGTCATGAAAGAGCTCTTTTATGTTGGTTGGTTGGTTGGTTGGTTGGTTGGCTGTTGAGATATCAGCCTCTATTAATGCTGAAATCTGAATATTTTGAACACAATTTTATGGCTTCAACTACAGATAAAATGTATTGTTGGCCATTTTACTATAAAAATATATTTTTATACTTTCATAGTGTCTTGTTTTTGTTTGGGGGTTCACTATTTTCCCATAGGACCCTAACAGATGCTACCACCCCAGTTCAGGGTTGACCTAAGAACAACAGAAATTAAGTGGTGGTTTCCTGCTCCTCAAAAGCTCCAATCTCCCAATCAGACGCCTTGCTGTGGGGTGTAGTTTATAGTCATACCCAATACTGTCTCTGTAATGAATTTAGACTCTTTGTAAATGGGCAAGCAGTAACTGAGCAGTACTAAAAATAAGAACTAAAAGTGATATCCCTAGACATGGGCAGTGGAATTTCAGCCCCGAAATTCAGACAGTAACTAGTTATTTCTTTCATTCCAGCTCAAATGTTTCATTTTCATTTTCTTCAGATTTTCCTTCACTTCATGCACAATAATTTTTTCATTCTTTTCCTCCTCTCTTTTCTTTTTACCCTCCTTCTCCTGTCCACTCTCTTCCTCCTCATACTTCCTCTATTTTCTTTTCCTCCTGCTCCTTATATCCCCTCCTCATTTCCACTCTCTACCTCCTTATACTTCCTCTCTTTTCTTTTCACCCTCCTTCTCCTTATATTCCCTCTTTTTCCTTTTTACCTTCCTTCTCTTCATTTTCGCTTACTTCTACCTCATACTTCCTCTTTTTCTTTTTCACCCACCTTCTCCTTATATCCCCTCCTTCTCATTTCCATTCTCTTCCTCCTCATACTTCCTCTTTTTTTTTACTCTCCTTCTTCTCATTTTCGCTCTCTTCCTCCTCATACTTTCTCTCTTTTCTTTTTCCCTTCCTTCTACTTATATCTCCTCCTTCTCATTTCCATTCTCTTTCTTCTCATACTTCCTCTCTTTTTTTACTCTTCTTCTTCTCATTTTCACTCTCTTCCTCCTCATTCTTTCTCTTTTCTTTTCTTTTTCACCCACCTTCTCCTTATATCCCCTCCTTCTCATTTCCATTCTCATTTACTCTCTCTTACTTCTCCTCTTTCTCTACAGTCATTTTCTATCTCCTCCTCTCTCTCTCTCTCTCCAGTCATTTTCTATCACCTCCTCTTTCTCTACAGACATTTTCTATCTCTTCTTCTCTCTCTCTCTCTCACTCTCCAGTCATTTTCTATATCCTCCTTCTGATCCTCCAATCATTTTCTGTCTCTTCTTTCTATCTCTGCAGTTATTTTTGATCTCCTCCTCTCTCCCCTGTCATTCTTTTATTTCCTCATCCTCTCTTTTTTCTTATTGTATTCCTTCTTTTTCACTTCTTTTACTTCATAATTCTTATCCTTCAAAATCATCTTTTTCTTACTTTAATTTTTTTTCTTCTCCCTGTTTCTCTCTTTTCTTCCCTTTTCTTTCTCTTTCAATTTTTCCACTCCCTCTTATTTCCCTCTTCATCTTCACTTCTTTCTCTCTTCATCATCATCATCATCATCATCATCATTTCTCTTTTCTACCTGCCTCCCAAGTATATTTTTAAATGTCTGACTAATTCTATATTCATCTGATAAAAATGGCAAATAATTGGTAAATAAGGCCAGCCACCAGCTTGTCTTCATTATAAACAGCATCACCAGAAATAAGACAAAATTGTTATTGACGATGCAATTTTCTGAGAACATGTTTTTAAATATGCATTATTCCATAAGGTATTAAGTTCTCCTGCATATATAAGTAAAGATTTGTGTATGTAATTGTGTCTATTTGCAAACATATACACCTGAGTCTCTTATAACATTATCCCAGTTAACATTGTCTTTACAGCATGAAAAAAAAACATTCATATATGCCTACATGAAAAGGCTCAACTTGTGTCCGAGTATGACCACTTCTATGACTTTAGTGTTGATTTCGTTGCTGCTGCTGATGTCTCTGATGACCCATTAGGTCAGTCTTATCCTTTACTGCATTGGTATCAGAATACTGTAGCTTTGAATGTCATGTTAACCTGCTAACCAAAATCAAACTGGGCATCATAGTGATAACATGTATAACTAATGAAGCCAGCATTTGAAAGGCATGCATGACCATATTCTGCACAGGTGAGACTCTTTTTAGTATCTTTTTCTTGTATATATGTATACACGTATACATATATACATACAAGGTGCGATGGATAAATTGTCATCGAAATTACACAAAAATCTCATTTTAACAGATATATCTACCAAAATTAAAGAAAAATATCTTGAAATATCTTGAAATACTAAAGAGTAAATTTATTCAATAAAATCGTCATTGGCTTCAAACACAGCCTCCAGATGACTTCAGAATCTCTTGCAACACTTCTGCACAGTCTCCTTGTTTAAGTTGGTAAATGCTATCATAACCCTTGCCTTCAGTTAATCTTCATATATATATATATATATATATATATATATATATATATATGATTATTTAAAAAAAAAAAATATAAATATAAATATGTTATACAAAATATGATGTTGACACTTGATGATAAGACATGATGTTGACATCTTGAAACAAAATGAATATTTTTTTTAGTGATTTTATAACATATTTATATATAAATTTTTTTTTTAAATAATTATATCTGCTCTACTTTTGTATTGAGCACTCTTTTAAGAATAGTAATTGTTGGTTATTGGAATTCATTCCGTATATACCTGTTGTGGATTCTGAGATGAATTCGGTCTCCAAGGAATGACAAACGCAATAATTAAATATAAGAAATAAAATGTATTTACACAATCATACAAAGAGTAATACTGTTAGTAAATCCAGGAACGCGGTTAGTAGCAAATACAGATGGATATATACAGTCTCGAAGTAAGACTTCCTTAGAGTCTATGTGCTTGTAACTGACTTCTACAAGAGGTTACCTCACACTATCTCCGTTCGTATATTCTCTCTCTCTCCATATATCCTCTCTCTCTGACTGTCTCACTCTGGGTATTTAATGGCAGCAGTCCAAGTAACACTGGTAGAGTCCACTTATAAGAAAAGGGGAGGACCCCATAACAATACCAATTATATACTTGTATATATATATATATATATATATATATATAATGACAAAAATATGCAGGTGCAGGCTTTAAGAAAGCTTTATTCAACTGAGAATACAAGGTTCACGTATAGTGTTCTTTTATACTCCATAATAGACAGAAATTTCTCTCTCGAAGGAGGAGAGTAACAAAACAAGGAAGACCACCCTTGATTAATCATAACTACATATATATATATATATATATATATATATATATATATATATATATATATTGCTTAAATTCCTTTCTGTTTCCTCTCTAGCCTACCAAATTATCAGTCAGAGACTTTTAGTTGTCATTTATATATATATATATATATATATATATATATATATATATATATATATAAAATAATGTCACTTGTATGTGAGTATGTAGGGTGGCTATCCAAACCCTATTGCAGACACCTGCTCAGACACATTTGTGTTTGGACATTACCCACAGAGTACACCTGTGTTTTATACTGCAATTATGCTTAGTTACAGTTTCTGGGAGAGTGCACATTATCTGGTTTGATCAATGGTCTCAACAATGCCAGTAGGTTTAAACCCTCAGTCATGAAGACTTATGACTTCATGCTAGCTCAACCATCAACAGTTTCAAAATAGTTCTGTCTCTCCAACTTCACTGAAAAGGCTTCTTGTCAAACACTTTAGTGGTTTTCATGAACTTTTCAAAGGCACCACACACTAGGATCACCTCTATGGGCTGATAACATCAAGATGTCACCTTCCTGACAAATCCCATCATAGTGTGATTCAGACCTGGGTCTATTGGTCTGAATACCAACATACTAACCACTAAGCCACATGCCCATATATATATATATATATATATATATATATATATATATATATTATAATTACTTTCTTTTTTAAAAATATAATTCCATTGCAACACAGAAATTTCTATGTTTCAAAACTGAAATTAAAATTGTAAATTTAATTATAAATATTAAACTTAAAATCCAGAGTTTTGTTCTATTGTCAATTGATGCTAGGAATAACTTTCTAAGAAATTTATTTAATTCATAAGTGCAGACAATCTTAATATTTTGAGTTTTTAAGGTTAAGGAGAATTCAGTTTATTTTGATTAGGAGTGGTTGGATTTTAATTTCATGTGCAGAGTGAGTTGTCATTAAATCTGATACCCTCTGAGCTACAAACAACCAATTAGTCAGATAAGGCATGAATTGTACCTAAATTTTTCTTTAATAAGATTTCTCAAACATTCAGGTCAGCAGATGAAAATAAATAAATATACCATTTAATAAATAAACGGAGCATCTTTTCAAATACAAGTATCCACTAAAAATAATATTTAGACAATAAAAATCTATCAGACCAATAAATAAAAAATCTATTTCTTTCTTTACATATATATATATATATATATATATATATATATATATATATATACAGGGTCTCCATAAAGTCTGTTTACAATTTTTTTAAATTATTATAAACGCAAATGAACAGACAAATATGTGGAAATTGTGACAAAATGAGGAGTAGTTATTGAAGTTTTTTTTAAAAACTAATTTAATACACCTTTACATGGGCACAATTAGTTGCAGGAAGCACATCATGATGGTACTAGATTTCTTGCTATGTTCACTGCAGCATAGCCTCAACAATAGTGGCAATAAACTTTTGCTTTAGATCAGTGATATCCCATATCTTTTTTCAATACATATCTTTAACATAACCCCATGAAAAGACATCCAGGAGTGTGATATCTGGTGAATACAGTGTCCAGGGAATTTGGCCCATTCCTTCCAATCCACCAGTCTGGAAATGTTAGGGGTTCATTTAACAGTACCTCTTTCATCAACATGGATACCTGAAATACATGAATGCAATGTGATTAAAAACTTTAATAACTATGGAGTTCATAGAATAAATTTGATTAAGATATCTCATCAATTACCTTGGTAATATATTTTTTTAAATTATAAAGACACTTTATGGACACCCTGTATAGAAACTGGCATCCAGCATTCTTGGAAGTCCATAAAGTTTATTTGAGTTTCTCTTAAATCCCTGTTGCAGATGCAGGACACACTTTGAGAATAAAATCTGTAATGTCTATTGTGACTCCAGATCACAAGTGAAACTCATATTTATGCCCCACCACTAAAGAAACTGGAAGAATGGTTGTACCTGACCCTTTCTGCGATCTACCTTTTCCAAAGCTAGATCAGATCAAAAATGAAGTATTGTTGTGATATCTGGGCTGCCCAGCTGCTCAGTCCTCACTTGCCTCTTTTGATAGAGTGTTATATAGGAATAAAGTTTGAACATAGATTGCAAACACAGGCGATCGCATTATTGAATTAAGTGGATCATATGACAATGGGAAAAATGCATAAGTATAAAGTAGCATGATGTCTAAACAATTGCCATTTCTAGTCTATCCTCTATTAATATATGGACCACAATTCTCTATACTATTTACTATATGGATTATTATACGGCAGTTACTTTTGAACGAGTATTATTGAGCAAGTACTATTAATGTGAGTGATATTCGAAGGCATCTGACACCAGCATTGTTCAATGGTGTACTATAGTTATATCTGCAATTACAAAGTCTCTACTACAACAAGTATTCACTGACATCACAAAAATGGTAATGAGTGTTTGTTGACATCATAAAATAGAGTTCAAAAGCATCTATGCAGTCTTTTGGGTGTTGAATTATTTTCCACCCTATAAACCCTTCCCACAGATGAAATATCACGAGCCTCTCATTATTCTGTTACCATTTCCATAGCATGTGTTCTGACAAGCTACATTCCTCAGTTCCACAAGCCCTGACCTTTGCAACTGGAACCCACCATGCTACATACACAAAGATGAATCATCCTCATTCCCTTCATATTCCATTAGTAATGAGTAAGTTCCTCTTAGACAGCTTCTTATCCAAAACTACTGCTTTACATTCCATTAGACATGGCACATGGAACTAGAACAGTCTACACCAGCGAGCAAAATAAAGGGTTCAGTTTGACATTCCAACCACCTGAAGAAGGCCAGAGCATACAAAGGATGAAACATTGATTTGGGGATGATAGTCCAAACAATGTAAATAGTGTGTGAAAATTAGTATAAAAAAGCTAAGAATAACTCTCCAGCAGATAAGGTAGATTTTAGTAAGCTTGAGATTTTTATGCAATTCCAGTGAGCTTCAAGCAGACTTTTTCTTTGTTGGCATGCATTAATTTCATTGGTCAGAAAACTACAAATTATATACAGCATATTGTACATCAAGGTTTTAAGCTAAATAAAATATTTGACCAATACATTCTCTCATAATTTTTTTTATTTAAATTTTTTTATCTCTGAATTGATTCTTAGTTTTTAATATTTTATTTTTATAATTTTCTTTTTTTTTTCTTTCATTTTAGTATTCCTTTCCTTTCTTTTACTTTTCATTTTCTTCTCTTACTTTATT